GTGTATGCATAAACTTTAGAAGTTATTGATTATTAGAACATTATGATGTTAGAATTGTTGTATTGTTTGTGAGGAACATTAACCAAGCATAAGGAACAGTGAAATGATGTTGGGATTGTCCTACCTCATGCTTGAGGAAACACCTGGTGGGTGGAGGATGCCCCTTATCCACCTGGCTTTGTGTTCATGTGAAAATCTTGTGATTTTGCCTGTGAAACTTTAGGATAAAAGGTTTATGGTTTGTCCCATTAAACGGCTTCTGCACCAGACAGAGTCCAGTCTCTTTCTTTCTCCCCCCTTTTTCTTTCTTTCTTTTTATCTCTCCAGAATAATCGCCGACACTGCCACACCTCCCAGGGACCCCCTAAATCTCTCTGCAGGGGCTGGTCCCCCACAGTGCATAGTCCCTCCCAGGTTATCTTTCTCTTTAATAGAACATTACTCTGAGACAGTAGATGACTACCTCCAGGTGCTGAATGCGAATTGTGCAGCCACATCATCTGAACACCCTCTCCTGGGCCCTCTGGGCAGTAGGCAGGAAAATACCTTCTCAGTTATGAAGAAAACACTGATGGATGGCTGAACTACCACTTAATAAAGGAATTAAGAGATTACATGTGCAGAAACATTGCCAGTTTGAACTGAAAGGAATGTTGAAGGGAAGGCTGTCATACTTCTTAAATTTTGCAGGATGAGATAAAAGAAATATTTGGCTGGGAAAGGTGCTATTCTTCAACAAATGGGAAGAATGACCCAAAAGCCACTTAGAGATTAAGATTATCAGGACTGCCTCCTTGGTTTCAAAGCATGGGGTTACCATCTCCCTACATTTAAGCAACAGGCCAGGCTGCCACAGCCTGGATCCTTGAGGTCAGGGTCAACCCACAGAGCTGTGGGGGTAGGACTAATATCTGTGGCCTTGGAGGAGAGGCCATCACCCCAGGAAAGCAGGGAATGGAGCCAAAGAGAATTATTCTAAAGACTTAGATTGAATGGACTCTGTCTTGCTAGGTTTTAGACTTGCCTGGGACCATCATTCCTTTCAGATTTCTCCCTTTTGGAGTATGAATGTCTATTCTATGCCAGTACCATCACTGCATTTTGGAAGCATATAACTTGCCTGGTTTCACAGGTTCATAATTGGAGAGGAATTACACCTAAAAACAAATAGTACGTTAAGCGTCACCCTTTCATGATTTAGATGAAATTTCAGATGTTAGACCTATAGTTCATGTTGAAACAAGGTAAGGACTTTTGGAGCTGTTGGATGGAATGTATATATTTTGGATGCAAAAAGAACATGAATTTTCTCCTCTCTCTCTCAATCTCTCTCTCTCTCTCTCTCTCTCTCTCTCTCTCTCAATCTCTCGCTCTCTCTATCTCAATCTCTCTCTCTCCCCAACCCCCTTGATCATGGAACTCTGCTCTCCAGAATTATGAGAAAATAGTATCTGTTGTTTAAACCACAAGCCAGTGGTATTTAGTTATGGAAGCCCAAGCAAATTAATACAGCATACAGCATCACAAACATGACCAACTCTTAACCACTCCCAATATATCCATAGGGTCTTCAAAAACCATATCAAAAAATGAAGAGACTGCGATCTTAGGATCTGAAGGAGGAAAGGTCTTGGCTGGTGGGAACTTGAATGATTCCCAACTCTGTATGAGCTCTGGGAAGTGTTTGTTCCCCAGTCCCCCAATAATTGTTCTTTTGGCAGCAGGTGTTTTTTGCCAAGTCTTAAAGAGCATCACCCTTTACATGTGCAGATTGGTTTTTGGATTTCTGAACTTTCTCTTGTAGCTCCCTTTCCAATATGCTACCCCACACATTACAGCTGCCTTTAGCTTCGTGAAGTCTTAAATATCTATGTTTATTGAGTAAGGGTAGGAGTGGAGTTATCCCTACCTAAACCACAGTCTAGGAATTTCCTCCAGACTGAAGCAATCATAGGTATAACCATATTTGCCTCTTTTCCCACAGGAATCACAGTTGTGCAGTTTCTAATGTCCAATAGCTTAAAACACTTGTTTCATATATTTTTCCAGTTTTCTAGATATTTCATAATATCTTGACCAGTTTTCCAGTTGTTTATATTAAGATAGAAAAATCGTGACCCACCTGGGCAACTTGGTGAGATCTCATCTCTACAATAAATCAAAATGAGCCGGGCATGGTAGTGCACACCCGTAGTTCCAGCTACTTGGAAAGCTGAGGTGGAAGGATCACCAGAGCCCAGCAGGTCGAGGCTGCAGTGGCCAGGAGCGGCCACTGCACTCCAGTATGGGTGACAGAGTGAGATTCCAACTCAGAAAAAAAAAAAAAAGATAGAAGTTTGTATCAAAAATCCCTTATAATCTCCTATTTAACTGTTTCACAGTTTATCATTCAATTTACCTGAATCTGAGCTTACAAGCACTCTATATGGATTATTTGTTGGGGAGGTAGATAAGTAATAATGGCAACACTTATTCATATATGCCAAGAGACTAGCAAGAAAGATTTGAGTACATCAATTTACACTCCACAAATATTTTATTTAAAATATATATTTTGTTCTTATGGCTGAAAATGACAAATATTAAGTGTGGGAAATTTTAAACACATAAAAATTATTAAACTCAGGGTACATTTACATAAGATGATGATGGGTTCCAGTAAGAAAATCAACACATACAATGTATCTGTTTTAAAGCATAATCACATAACTCAGTGACTCTGCATTTTTGTTTAATACAATATTTATGATTATTCAATTTAATTGTGCTTTCCAAAGTCAGATTCCTGGTACACAATGAATATGCTTATAAATGAATATTTTCATAAAATTTTAGCATCATATCAGAAGCAAGAGTTTTTGTATAATATTTCTTTTAAAAAAAATGTTTTATTCTCAGTTCCCAAATTGGGATATTTTCAGTCTGCTAAAACCTTTGACATAAGACAAAGAATGAAGCATTTTGAAAGCTACCATTTATTCCAAATATTCATAAGTTGTTTCAAATATCAAATATCTACTGATCATTAAGATGGCACTTTTATTTCTGGGCAAAATATTTCTCATATTTATTAAGTTTCTCTCTTTCACTATTTCTAATGTAAACTGAGTAAATCAAGTAAGAAAAGGTGTCTGGACTTTCAGGATGCTGACAGTGATTTCTTCTCTCAATAGTTTCTTAGATTAGTGAATTCTGATAGGTTTTCCCACATTTGTAGATTCATAGAATTTCTTTCTTCTGTGTGTGTTCTAATGTACTGTGAGAGAAAACTTCTGGTAAAAGAACTTCTCAAATTATTTGCATTCATAGGGTTTCTCTCCAGTGTGGGTTCCCTGATGTACTGTGAGGGATGACTGGTGGTTAAAAAATTTTGCCACATTTGTTAAATGTATGAAGTTTATCTCCTGTGTGATTTCTTTGATGCTTAGTAGGATCTGATTTCTGATAAAATGTTTTGCCACATTGAATACATGTATAGTGTTTCTCCCTTTTGTATATTTTCTGATGTACAATAGGGGATGACTTCTGGGAGAAAGTTTTCCCACACTCATTACATTCATATGTTTTCTCCCCTATGTGTGTTCTCTGATGTACTATGAGTGATGACTTCTGAAAGAAGGTTTTCCCACACGCATCACATTCATAGGGCTTTTCTCCTTTGTAAGTTCTCTGATGCACAATAAATTTTGACTTCACTGAGAAAGATTTCCCACATTCATTACATTCACATGGTTTTTCTCCAGTATGAGTTCTCTGATGGTAAGCAAAGTTTGGCTTTTGGGAGACTGTTTTCCCACATTCATTACATTCATAGGGTCACACACCTGTGTGTATCCTTTGATGTACCATGAGGAATGAATTATAAACAAAGGTTTTCCCATATTCCTTACTCATAGGGTTTCTCCCCTGTGTGAGTTCTCTGATGTACATGGAGATTTGACTTCTCACAGATTTTTTCTCTCTCATTCATTACGTTGATAGGGGTTCTCACCTCTGATGTACTCTTAGACCTGACTTATATCTGAAGGCTTTCCTAAAGTCAATACATTCATAGGGCTTCTGCCCTGTATGTATCCTCTGATGAATTCTAAGGCCAGACCTATTTGTAAAGGTTTTTCCACATTTAGTACATTCATAAGGTTTCTCCCTTCTGTGTATCCTGTTATGTATTATGAGAGGTGACCTGTGGTTGAGGGCTTTCCCACACTTATTACATTCATAGAGTTTTTCTCCTAGTCATGCTTGCTAATGTTTAGGAATAACTGACATATGCCAAAAAGAACTCTCATAAAGACTTTTTGAAGGTTTGTTTTTTTTTTTACCATGTGTGTTTGTTTTTGAGAGAAATTTTGTTTCTTGAAGATTTTCCCACCTACATATTACATTCAAACCTTGTTTCTCCTTTGTGAACCCTTTTAGTACAAGTGGGGAGTGACTTCTTGCCAAAATTATTCCCCAATTCATAAGTTTTCTTCCCCAGGATAACTCTGTGGTGCTCATTTAGAGACTTCTCCCCAACAGACCTCTTCCCACAGTCATTAAATTCATAGTGATTCTCCCTAGTGAAAGTTCTCTGATGAACAAGGAGGTCTGAATCATCAAAAACAGCTTTCACTTGTTCATTATATTCACAGAGCTTCTCCATGAGCATGCTCTCTTATAAGTAATAAAGGCTGTCTCCTCCTGAAAACTCTCATATTCATGATGTTCAAAAAATTGATTTGGAGCCGGGCTCGGTGGCTCAGCCTGTAATCCCAGCGCTTTGGGAGGCTGAGGTGAGTGGATTGCCTGAGCCCACAGATTCGAGACCCACCTGGGCAACCTGGCGAGACCTCATCTCTACAATAAATCAAAAACTAGCCGGGCGTAGTAGCGCTTGCCTGTAGTTCCAGCTACTTGGAAGGCTGAGGCAGAAGGATTGCCAGAGCCCAGCAGGTCGAGGCTGCGATGGCCGGGAGCGGCCACTGCGCTCCAGTCTGGGTGACAGAGTGAGACTCCAACTAAAAAAAAAAAAACTGCTTTGGAGTTTGAATAGCCTGATGCTGAAATAGGTCCTAATTCTGATGAATGACTTTCCCATTTCTATCATAGTCAAAAGGTTTATCTCTGGCATAAAGATTCTCATGCTTTGTGCAGATAAACAATTTCTAATGTACACTGAAATTATCAAGCTTCCTTACAACAGAACTTCTATTACTAACAATCCTGAAATACAATTCAGGCCGGGCTCAGTGGCTCAGCCTGTAATCCCAGCACTTTGGGAGGATGAGGTGAGTGGATTGCCTGAGCCTGTGGGTTCGAGACCAGACCAGACAATTTAGCAAGACCTTGTTTCTACAATAAATTTAAAAATTAGGCCAGGCATGATGGCTCATGCCTATAATCCCAGTAAATTGGGAGGCTGAGATGAGAGGATTGCCTAAGCCCACTGGCTTGAGACCAGCCTGGGCAACTTGGTGAGACCTCATCTCTACAATAAATCAAAAAATTAGCCAGCATGGTGGTATGTGCCTGTAGTTCCAGCTACATGGAAGGCTGAGGTGGAAGGATCGCCTGAGCCCAGAAGGTTGAGACTGCAGTGGCCATGAGCATGCCACTGCCCTCCAGCCTGGGTTACAGAGTGAGATTTCTACTCAAAAAAAAAAAAATTAGCCAGGTGTGGTAGTTCCAGTTGCTTGGAAGGCTGAGGCAGAAGGATCACTAGAGCACAGCAGGTCAATACTGGGGTGGCCATGAGTGTGCCACTGCACTTCAGCCTGGGTGACAGAGTGAGACTCCAACTCAAAAAAAAAGAAAAGAAAAGAAAAAAATTCAAATTCATTACATATTAATATTTAACAGATACTTTTCTCATTGGAACAGGGTTTGTGTCCACATTAAATGTTTTTCCTAATACATCATTTCTCTCCTCAGTCAGTGTTTTGTTGTTGACAAAACCAACTTTCCACAAATGCTGGTCTTGGCTTTCCTGCCCCTTCCCCATTACATCAACTTTCCAGAATTCTAGAAATGAGAATAATTTACCATTTATAATTAAAATATCTTATAAATGTTAATGCACTTCACGTGGAAAGGAGACAATATAAAAATGCACTAGCATGGCCCAGTCTTCTGGTCTGAAGTAATCCCAAGGGTACACATCTCACTCCCATAGGATTGGACAAAACAAATAAACTGTATAGTGGAAAACAGGAGATGAATCTAGAAATAAAAACACAGTAACTAAGCACTTTAGAAATGTGACCTTCAAAACTGAATAGAGAAAATGAAATAAACACAAAATATAAAACACAATACTTTGAGATGAATGTTTGAGGCATGAGGCAGGAAACACAAAAAGCAATGAAGGTCAGGAACAATGGTTCATGTCTGTAATCGCAGAACTTTGGGAGGTCAAGGCAGGAGGATTGCTTGAGCCAGGAGTTTGAGACTGGCCTCAGCAACATAGTGGGACTTTGTATCTACAAAAAAATAAAAAATGTAGCCACATGTGTGGCACATGCCTGTAAACCCAGCTACTTGGGAGGCTGTGATGGAAGGATAACCTAAGCCCAGGAGGTTAAGGCTGCTGTGATCATGCCACTGTACTCCAGACTGGGCGACAGAGTGAGACTCTGACACACACACAAAAGCAATAAACAGTAGGTGGCACTGAAAGAAAAATTAGTAGACAATAGTTTTGAGGGGCAATATCAAAGGAAAAATTAAATTTAGAAAGGCAAATAAGTATCTAGGCACTCACTGCCTGCCACAGAATCCTCACTAATACATATGCTTCTAGTTTCTCACTAATTATTTTCTGTTTTGCTCACCAATCCCAAATAATAATGTCAGAGAGCAACAATTATGCACGTTCAAAAAAAATCCTATTGACCAAACAATAATTCTCATTCTAGCTCTGATTCACATGTAAAGTCAATGTCCCAAAAAAGCATACATGTAGGTTATGAAAAAAGGAAGATCAGGTACATCATTTTATTCTGCTCTTTTGTCTTCATTTTCTTGGATAACAGTTGCTTATTAATAAATCTGTCATAGCCATAAAATTTCCCTATTTCTGTTAATTTTCTTATTTCATAAACAATCTTCTCCCTCACAAACCCTAGTTCTTTACTTTTCCCTTATATATTAATATATAAGATATACATATAATTATCAATTATATATTTCAGCATTTACTTATTTATTTCAGGATTTCTGACTGCTTTTTCCGATGTGAACTTTAAAGATCATAGTTTTCAGGCCAGGCACAGTGACTCAAGCCTGTAATCCCAGCACTTTGGGAAGCTGAGGCAGGAGGATTGCCTGAGTCCAGAAGTTCAAGACCAGCCTGGGCAACGCAGCAAGACTTCACCTCTAAATAAAAATAAAAAGAAATTGTAAAAATATTTTTATCATAGTTTTCAATCTAGTCTTAAGATCTTTGTAGGATTATAAATAATCTTATAATTGTAGAATATAATCCTCATTATTTATGGATTCTATATCTGAAAACATATCTACTCATTAAAATTTATTTGTAAGTCTAAAGATGGTGGCCTTGGCAGTGAAAGGGGCTGTGGCACTGCAAGTGTTGCTTTTGTTAGAAAAATTCCTTGGACCATGGCATCGGGTGAGCTGAGAGAACACTTTGCACACTATGGCCATATATAAAAGTGCATCGTACCCTTTGACAAAGAGACTGGCTTTCACAGAGGTATGGGTTGTATTCAGTTTTCTTCAGAAGGAAAACTTCAGAATGCTGTACAGCAGGAAAATCATATTATTGATAGAGTAAAACTTCATGTACAAGCCCAAAGACCAAAAGTTTTGCAACCATCTGACAAAGAAAGATTTTTGAGACTATTCATGCTTATTAAAGTTAATATAACTGAAAAAAATTAAGTAAAATAAAATTTATTTATAAATCCAAAATCAAGACTCTTGACACTCTCATGGTCATTCAAGGACATACAAAAAGCATCAAAAAATTTTACTCACTGACACACATATTCCCAGATGAAGTCAAAAAAGTCAATGCACTACTTTCTTGTTTCAGTTCTCACACTGTAAAAAACTGCTCTTTTCCTGATATACTTAGTGCCATACTTTTCAGTTTAATGGTTTTTGTTGGTAATTTCACTATTTAAAATAGTCCCCTAGTATAGGTTTGAAGTACTTTCTCTAGTGTTCTTAGGCACAAGAAGGCTGTGACATGCCATGTGGAGAAAACATGTGTTAAATAAGCTTTATCGCTGGGCTCGGTGGCTCAGCCTGTAATCCCAGCTCTTTGGGAGGCTGAGGTGAGTGGATTGCCTGAGCCCGCGGGTTCGAGACCCACCTGGGCAGCGAGACCTCATCTCTACAATAAATCAAAAAATTAGCTGGGCGTGGTAGCACACGCCTATAATTCCGGCTACCTGGAAGGCTGAGGCGGAAGGATCGAGGCTGCGGTGGCCGGGAGCGGCCACTGCACTCCAGTCTGGACAACAGAGTGAGACTCCAACTCAAAAAAAAAATAATAATAAGCTTTATTTAGGCATGAGTTGTAGTGCTGTTGGCCATGAATTCAATGTTAACATATCAATATATATTAAATAAGGTATTTTTTTTTTTTTTTTAGTCAGTCTCACTCTGTCGCCCATGTTGGAATGCAGTAGCACACTCACAACCACCACAGCCACGACTTGCTGGGCTCAGGTGATCCTTCTGACTAAACCTTTCCAGTTAAAAAGTAGTGATATTAACTGTATCACTTTGTACAGCATTACTCTATAACAAATATTCCTTTCTTTTTTTTTTTTTTTTTTTG